ATTACTTATTTATACTTTTGGTCAACTAAGAAATTTTTTTTATCATATTGTCAAGAAACATCCATTTTTAGTTCTCTACATTGTCTGCAAAATCATCGTTTTCAGTTAACTTCAAAGAGGGAACAGAAAAAAACATACATTTTTGCTTCACTAACCTCCAAATTTGTTTGCGAACGACGATATTTTAAGCTATGTTTGTAAACAACAGAAATGTTAACATTGATGACGACTTTGTATAACCTCAAATTATGTCGTGTAATATTGTAATGATTAGAAGGTTATTTCCACAGTATGATGAAAATGGTTGTTCATCACACGGAGCGAAAGTGTCTTTTTGGTACTTATTTGTATCATAAAACACGATCGCATACTAAAAAGAGCCATTTTAGCTCCTAGTGATGAAAACTACTATTTCATTCCTTTACATTCAATGATTTTTTTTAAAGTAATTTAAACATTGTCATGTTGATTCCAACTTTAGGTCAACCAATAAAAAATATTTTGGTTCCTTTTTCAATAACTAATTAGATTTTAAGGTTATCTGATAAAAAGATAGGGCATTTGCTAGGAATTATTAAGGAAATAAACAGGAAACCAGGCTTACTTTTAAAAAAGTCCATAGAGACACATAATATATACCGGTACAACATATATTAAAGGTAAGCCTGTTTTCCTGTCAATTTCCTTAATAATTAGATTTTAGTAAGTATTTCCCGATACATGACTAAATTGTTTTATGATGTGGAGTTAGTTTAGTATGGTAATATGTTGATTTTTTTTACACAGGAGGTTGCACACTTGGAGTTTGAATGTCAACACGGACCAAAGGAATGTTTGGGTAACAAACTGAATGCTTGCGCTATCAAAAGTTTAGTGACTCACTCTAAGAAACCCCACTACTTGAAACTTATCAACTTCATATACTGCACCATGAATGCAGAAAACCAGATAAAAGCTGCATACAAGGTATTTAAGTGTATCATATGTTTGTTAAAAAAATGAAATGTATCTCTTATTTTTTTTTGTGACATATATACGTAAACTGCGCTGCTAGTGAGAAAAAAAAAAAAAAAAAAAAAAAAAAAAAAAAAAAAAAAAACTATAGTAAACCCTCATTTATTGTGGAACCAGATGAGATTTCTACTTCTAAGTTGTCAAGAACAATTAAATTATAGATTTGCAAGCTGGGGATTTCCATTTAAGAAGGGCTTGAGTCAAGCTTTTGGTAATACAGTAGGCCTACCTCAAGCTTTTTGTATATTATTTGTTGTAATGTCATATAATAAAGATTATGTGTCATAATTCTTCTTTTCAAAATGCAATTTAAAGTTAAATGATGTGTAGAGTTAATTATAGATTTTAAGAAGATCTGAGCAAGATGAAACAAGGAATGAAGGAACTGAGTATTATAAAATTGTACCTCATTTTATTTTCTTCAAAAGGCAATGTTTTCTGAAATTAGTAGTCATGAAGACCAAGAATACAAATAAATGCTTAACTTATAACCATTAAAATTAATCATGTAAAATGAAATAAACTGCACAGAGAAGTAATGTATAGAGGAAACATGCTTATGGAACGACTGCGCTCTTTTAGCTATAGATTGTTGTACCGGAAATATACTTGTGATGAGCAAGGGAGAGCCCCAGGGGCGAGTGGAAATGAAATTCCTACTGCACAGGGTACAGGGTCTTACTCCACCGTGAGCGTTGTAGTACACGAGGGAGAGGGAGGCGGTGTTGGACTTTGCCTTAGACACCAGTGACTAGTGCTAGACACACCACTTAAGTCTACCGTTGATTGTTTGTTCTGTACTTACTTCTCTGTGCTATAAGTAAAATGCATTAGAATTATATCGCTAAATGTAATCTAATCTAATCTAAATCTAAATCTACTCACTTCACAGTAGGGGACGAGCGGGTCTAGTGGCCAGAGCGTGTGGGACTTTGGTCCTTGAGGTCCCGGGCTCAAATCCCGCGACCAATGGATTTTATCCAAGTGATAACGCCCCAACACCTGGTCTAGCCTGAAGTAATGTGAAAAACAATTACGGGCTCGTGCCTAACATCCTAGGACAAAAAAATGAATATTTCCTGCAAATGGCGGAGACGCAATCGTTGTCCCCAGCAATCGTGTAGTAATCTTTTGACGGCACAAGCTTTGCTGAAGCTTTTTGTCCTATCTGAAAACGAAAAAACGTGTTTTATTTAACGGCTATAACTAAAGAAGTAAGAGCTAGCAAAGATTTAAAAGAATTTTCATGGTCAGGAAAAAAAATTTTCTACAAGACACTTGTGCGTTTTCAGATAAACGCACCCCTTCACAAAAAAAAAAAAAAAAAACGCCCTGTTAAAAAAAACGTAAAAAAGGCGTTAAAAAAAACGCCCTCCTTTAAAAAATTTGCATTTATTTTCAAATTTTCAATTGTTTTTACAACTTTTTCTACCTAAATAAATTTTTATTACATGTTTGTTTATTGTTAGTTCATCTAAAGGACACCATATTGACAACCTGTAAATGGTATGTAAAAAAACTTTAATGGTTACTCTTTAATATAAAATTAACCTCATATCCATATAATTATTAGTTTTCAAATTATAAACCTACAAAATCAGATGATTCTTTTTGTAACACACTGTATTATAATGCCTTAAAAACCATGTTTTACAGTACAGTACTGTGATTCGAGAGTGAAAAAACAATTCATTGTATAACTTACCACAAAGAATGACGAACAAATTCTGACGATGTTCACAGTGTGCTCAACAAACTTCGGTCAACTACGCAAGAATGATCCGTTGTTATGTGGATGGGACAGGAGACAAGCTTATAGAGGATTATGGGTACAGGACTGCGGCATTGGACCCTACTCTTTCATGGGTACCCACCATCGTCTTCAATGACGTGCGTAACATTGGATATACTTAAGTAAATTTTATTCAATAGCTGCCAAATGAAGCCAAACGCTGGCATCATTTTTGATTAGCGAATATAAACTTAGAAACATTTCATGTTAAATTATTTTGAGAGAATGCTACATGCATCCAAAGTATATTATGATTTGACGCAAACAATTGCTACAGCCACCACATCCAAAGTAGCTTTTGTTTAATTTGTTTCAAACTGTTGTAAAAACACATAGACTATTAAATTAAAAAATAAATTATAAAAACAAAAGTTTTTTAATGGTTTCATTTTGAAAAATATAACCTACTGACTGATCAATCTTTTAAGTATTACTAGTGTATAGGTTTACTGATGAAAATAAACAACTAAACACATCAAACAAAGACTTTTCAGATACACTTTCTGTGTGTAGTCGAGTCTTAGTGGAAGAAGGAGCGAGTACAATCCGGATATCCTTTGCTATAATCCATTTACCTCAGTAAGATTAGACTGCTGTTTAAGCCTTTCTACCAAAAGTACTTAAAAACTGGCTAAAACCATCTTTACAATAACATTTTGAAACATTTGATTTTCTATTTTTCAGGTGTTCAACAAAACAGAAAGTGACGAAGCTCAACAAAATCTATACGGCGTAGTTTGCAGATACAATCCTGACGCTTGCACCTAAGAAATATCAACTTGGAAATTATAGGAAAAAGTTATACTAAGCCAAAATATTAAAGAAAGGACAAAAATATATACAAATATTAACTTGGATCTATAGATGTATTATGCTTGTATGTACCACTTGCCTTTATTTTTATGTGACTGTGAAAAATAAATTTATTAAAATGCTTGTCATGTAATAAGCCTCTTTAACACGTTCGCTGCTGACCGCTAGATGTCGGGACGGCGCCAGGAGCTGAACTAACGCTCGCCGCTGTTTAAACATTGCTGCCGATACATTGAATTACAGTAAAAACAACAGTAGTTATACTGGATGGCAATGTTCTGCAATAAAACTGGCCTTGGACATAGTACTAAGTGATTCTGATAGATAGCAGCACTACCCAGGTTGCAGTCGGTAAAGTGGTGTCGCTATCTAGCAGGAAAGAGGTGGGACAAAGCCCTGTTCTTAACGACCCTGGTTGTGATTTTGGGAAACTATATTTTTTATTGTCAGAAAAGTACGTCCCCACAAGCTGCAAAGTAATATAGGACGCTCGTGACGAGCTGGCTGATCCATGGCAACGTTAAACAACAATGAACAGCGACGTTCCGGAACGTTCCTAGCTCCTGGCGCCGTGGCCCGTTTGACGTTCCGGAACGTCCGTAGCAGCGAACGTGTTAAACACTTCAAACCCGTAACTGTAGTTATAGAGTAGGTAATTAGGTAGTTGATCAAAGGCAAATTTGCACGCTTTATAATTTAATCAATTAGATTTAAGTAAAATTTTCAGTAGTGAGTCAATATTTAAAATTATTTAAATGGGTTCAAATCTCTTTTGATTTTGAGAGGAAGATATCCAAATTTGTGTAAATATTTATGTGTCTCTAAAACATAAAGCATGAAAAAATCTCTTACCAAAATTATCTACCCAAAACTAATTAGCAGTTTTAATGCAGGATAACTCACTTGATAAGCAGAATGCAAATTTGAAACTTTTATTTAATTACCTTCAATAAGGTCCAAAAGTGAAAAAAATCTGTTTTTTAAGAAACCAACAGACATTTTTAAGAGGCTACCGACCTCTTCTAACCTTGCGTTTGTTTGATAGGATGGGCCTCTACAGTCTTTTCATGTAATATTAAGTAGAATGTATCCAACAAAGCAGGAGGTACAGTACAGTGTAAGAACTATTAAAATTAGAAGTAGCAACACTAGAACCTGATCTCACGTCATTGCTGCCTTATTTTTAGTTGTTTTAGTCTGTTGCGCTATAGGCTGAGCTATCAACTCAACATACTTTTTTTTAAATATTTGAACCCAAAACCTCGTGAACCAAAGCCACATGCTCTACCCACTGCAATACTGGAAACTTGTAGCACTTCGAATTGCTGCCACTACCAAAAGTTTTCCCAGAAGGTACCAAATTACTAAAATAAACAATATATTAAAAAACAAAACTCATTTATTATGTATATAAATAACAGTTTCAGTAATTATATAAATAATTGTAGTAATCGTGTAAGGAAATTAATAGATGGTTTAACGTTATAAATAAATTGCACTAGTATACAGATTTATCATATTTGCGTAACCAGGCTTGTTTTAAGGTTGATGAGAGCCAAAGCTTTTTGATTCACTTACTTACTTTTTGATACAATTACGTAACAGCTGCTTGTTTGCTTTAGCAAAATTAAAAAAAGATGTTGGAAAACGTTTTGAGACGATATCTTAAGATAAAAAGTATTTTAGTTTTCTAACTAAGTTTGCATAGTGGTGCATTATGACAACAAATATAGTTGATCACATAGGCAAAAAAGGTTTTTCAATCTTCGCTCTTATTTTACCTCGGCTTCTCCTCGCTCGTGCAAATTGAGCTCGGTTTGAAAAGATTCACTTTAGGCACCAAAAATATTTGACCATAAGTTTGACTTAATTTATATTTATTTAGTAAACATTATATGTTTATGTATAAAAAAAAACTAACAGCTAAAAATGTAAACAAATGAACACATGCCTGTGAAATTATTAAATAATTCATACTTGCATATCTGCAATGAAACTCATATACTTAATATTTGACTATTTCAGTCAACCGTTAATTTTTCATGGTAGCTTATCTGTAAAAATTAGAAATCCCAACCAGAAGGGTAGCAATTGGTTTGTGACAATGATTGATTTAATTTTTATAATACTTCAAGTTTTGATAAAAGAAAATACAATTGACAGATTGTTTATAAGATACCTTATCAAACGAGTGTGGGATTAAAATAAAATATTCGTTACTTGATAAGTTTTTTTGAGACATTTGGAAGATGTAACTTAGCCTACTATGCAATTTTGCAAGTTTCCAATAAAAAAAAAACTAAAAAAATTGTGAAAAAATACAATAAAACAATGTTTAACTATTTCATTCATAATTTAAATTATCTCACTTTGATATATTTGTATTGTTAATATAATGATCTGATAAAACGTAAATCATTACACGAATAAATGTTTTTACTGTAATGGATTAAAACTAATAATTTATGCATATGTACAAAAACAAGATTAAGACACATTTTCTAATAATATAAATCTATATAATAACAAGAATAGAGTACATTCGATAACAAACTAAACCAAGAAATACACCTCAAAATAATATACCGAGCATTCAATTATGTACAAGATAGTAATGCATACATACGACAGTATAACACCATATAAAATATTGGAATGTGTCATTCATGTATTGGACATATCACCTCAAGCATACCGAATTGAGAATATTATAAACAAATACTTCAATTTGCATTCATTGAGGTGGCATTTTTGTCCTTTAATCATAACACAAAATAATAAAAAAAAACTGCTTGCTTTTGGACTACTTGCATTATTGAAGTACACTTGCATGGCATTGCATTTTAAACTGATCTTTTTCAAATTTTAAATTTTAATCTTACAACTTTAATAAAAATAATTAGTTTGATTAGAAGTTTTAAATAACGTAATCAGGCAACATCACTATTGTAAAAACTGTTACAGATAACATTTTACTCATTCTACTACTTTGGGAAGTTATCTTTGTCTTTGACAGAACAATCAAGTTAAATATTTCCAGCCTAAGAGCAGTTGAAACTTCAAGTAACAAGTTATCAAGAAAAAGTAATGAATACACATTTTGAGAGACTATCTCACTCATGAACAGATTTCCAGGCAGATAATAGCACACAAAAAGTTCACAATGATTAACTTGATATTTTAACTCTAAAGGGCTTCCTTAAAAATAAGTAGTAGAACAGAAGTTTTTAAAACTCCCATTCTACTACCTCCCAGAGAAGCAGCCCCCTCAGAGGACGAAACGTTAACGTTGGACTACTTTTTGCATGCTATCTGGAATTTCTTTCATGAATAATTTAGATCTACCATCCATTCCTTCCTCAAAGCATTCCTAATCCTAAGCCAAGCGTTCTTTCTTCCAAAAACCGAGTTACAAGTTTATCTAGAGGTGGGTCAAGTGGACAAGATAGTTTGTATCTCGATGAGCAGTGACTGAGCCAAGCTCTCGGAGGAACTCTTGGCTTGAACTGTGAGTTGTTGCGGGTCTGACTTGACTAGTAGACAAACCTGGTGTCCCGATAAGGAGGTGGTGAACAGTGAGGCGGCTTGATCTACTTGCTCTACTACAGTCAGACGACATTTGGAGCTCACTAAACTCACCATCTGTGTAACAGCAACAATGCATGTCAAAGTTTAGCAGGCGTTGATCATAGGAGGGGGGAGATATTGTGAAGAGGAAGTGTTTGGCAATGTTGTGCGAGTTGGGTGGAAGTGTTGTTGAACATTTGTCATGACCTACAGTGGGTTAGGTTGGTGCACTTGGACTGGGGTCAGTTTTGTAGTGGTGTGGATTGGAGGATAGGGTAATGCTGGGGAGCTAGAGCTTAAAGCCTTTGGCGTTGAGTCCATTTAAGACTATTCAAATTTGGGGTTAAGAGTATTTTATTAAATTGGGGTTTCAAATTGTACACAGTTCTAGTCTACTTAACTTTTTGTTCGTTATTAATTTGTCTGCTTTGTATTATTTAATTTGTGGGCTAATCAAGTTGGGTTTTGTAATCGAGTTCTGAATTCAATTCCTGAGTTACGTCGCCAAAGTAACAGTGAGCGGGGCCTCAACCCTGAGGTTACCTACTATTACAGCATTATGGAAAGAATCTGATTACGAATTAGTTATAACATCCTACCATTCCACGACAATCAACCTTTTTCACCATGTCAGAGTTTTTAAGCCCCTTACCCTTGATAACTTTTCAATACAAATATTTAAAGTTGACATTTATACTTTATCACAAAGTTAGATTTTTCAATTTAAATCTTTTTCATACCTGAGGAAAGTCCCTAGCGACCACGGGACGTAGTGTGATACTACTCTGGTGCGTCAGTTGACCTTCAGACAGGAGACTAGAGAACGCATCCTGGCTTATCTTGGTATCTCTCAGGAAAGCCGTCACTCCAACTTGCAGCCAGAAGTCTACCTTGTCTTGGACAGCACTGCCGTCTTGAACCTAGAGGAAAATACTGTTTAGACAAAACATGAATGGCACATTGGCTGTCGACTACTACTCAACGATGCATTTTTTATTTGAAGTCTTCGGGGTCATATGTTGGGTCAAAATCAATCTTCACCTTATTTTGGAACAAGAAAAGTGAGAGAAATGACGAAAGGAGACGATTTCCCCGCTAACGCAGAATATATTCACGATTTTACCTCAATCCTGGAGGAGGTTCATGATGTGCATGATTCTCCATGGCTGTAAAAAAAGATGTTCACGATTTCACTGCAATTACAGGTGACGGTCATTCTCAGTATAACATTATTATCTTCCTATGAATTTCCTAAAAATATTTTGGTAAGGACATGAAGTAAGGACAAGAAAAATTTACCAAGACCTCTGCAAAATAAAATATTTTCAAAATCTAATTTTTTTAAACAATTCAATTCAATTTATTTGGAAAATCTCAAAAATATTACAACATTTCATAAACAAAGCTTGCTGCAAAAGCCAGGAAAAATTGGCTTGTCTGCAGCTCATAGAGATAAACTTGTTCTAGATAACAATGTACTTTGTCCCTTGGTCAGTCTTCTCCATATTACACTCTGGTTTTCCTTGTTTCTTGTCAAGATCTGCTACAGTAGAACCTCTTTAATCCGAACCCCCGTAATCCGAACGTCCACTAATCCGAACCCCTCATTGCTGTACTCTATACACAGTACTGCAGTTCTTTATTGTATACTGTATTTAATTTACAGTACTGTTTATGCACCATGGTTACTACTGTATTAAATAAACACTGTATTTTACTTTATAAAACATTTTTTCACTTTCCCCAAAATAATGTTGATCAATTTTAGCCATGTTTTTGCTATTGTTATGTAAAAACAACAATATGTTCTGTAATCCGAACTATTCAATAGTCCGAACTACCCCTGGTCCCAATTAGTTCGGATTAAAGAGGTTCTACTGTATTTGTTGTTTTGACTTATTCTCTACCTTTCTATATAAGACTAGCTTGCTTTAAAAACAACTTGAAACAATTATCTTAAATAAATAAAATATATAACAATAAATAACATGCATTAAATACTTCTCAACTTTAACAATAATATAATGAAATAATTTTTTTAACAATACAACAATACATAACTAAATAAATAATTAAATAATTTATAATAACAACAATATTAAACCAGTTTTAATGGATTCCTTGAGATGACAATACTAAAATAAATAACGTGCATTAAAGGATTTTAACTTTAACAATAATATAAAAAGAAAGTAATGTAATAAACAATGTTTAAATGGATTTATTGAGATAACAATGCTTAAGCCTAGATTTCAAGACTCTAAAACTAGTTATATTTTCTATTTCAGTTGGCAATCTATTAAAAAACGTTGGAACTAGAAATTTTCTAACTCTTTTTGAAAATTTGTTTGTGGTCTTAGGAACAATATAAAACTGTTTGCGTGAATTGTATCTATGGTCATTTTTTACTTTAAATTCATTTGAGAAATAGTAATCAAGTAAAATTATATACTCAAATAATACATCCACTGGTAATACCTCAACTATCCTATATCCGAGCAGAGGGTTTTCTGACAAAACAGTAGAGTCAAGCTTTGTCATAGTTTTTATGATTCTATTTTGCACAGTTTTTATTTGATTTATGGCTGTGGGTGATGCTGATCCCCATGATCTTAAGCCATATCTAATCACTGACTCACATATGCCTGAATATATGATTTTCATTGTTGTAAAAGGTAAAAAATCTTTTAAATAGAAAAATTTTGCTGCACAAACTCGTAGCCTGTTTGTTACTGTCTTAATTTGTAAATACCATTTCATATTGTGGTCAATTGTTATACCTAAATATTTGTAATTCACTACATTCTGTAATGGTAGGCACCCACATGCAGCATTTTCAAATTGTTTATTGTGTAAGCAGTCATGACAATGGAATTTCACCTTTATTTCTGAGCATTTGTATGACGGTGAATGTATGTGCATCAACTTTGATTTATCTCCATTTATAGCTAGACCATTGTCGTGGCACCACATGGTTAAACTTAAGAAATCTATTTGCATTTTTTCAGTAGCTTCCTGAATGTTTTTGTTGGATAATACAAGCGCAGTGTCATCTGCATACATATATATTCTACTAAATTGTAATATTTCAGGAAGAGAATTAACGTACAACAAGTATATCAATGGCCCTAATATACTACCTTGGGGTACCCCATACCTTAAGATTTTTTCCTCTCCATATGTACTCTTAATTCTAACCTTACATTTTCTATCCATTAAATAACTTAAAAACCAGTCTTTAATTTGCCCTCTTACTCCTGCTGTGTCCAGAGCCATTGCAATTGTCTCATGCTTTAAAGTATCAAATGCCTTACTAAAGTCTATAAATATTACTAAAACCTGTTTTCCTTCACTAAGCTGTTCATTTATATAATCTGTAAAATCTAAAAGTAGCTCGTTTGTTCCTTTCTTCCTCTGATATGCATATTGCTGTTTGCTAATAATACTATTCCTTTCTAAATGGTCAATCAAATTATTTGCAATATATCGCTCCATTAACTTACTAATAGCTGGTAAAATAGATATTGGACGATAATTCAAATAGCTCTCATGCCTTCCTGCTTTATAAATTGGTCTAATTACTGCAGTTTTTAACAGTTCTGGAACGCAAGATTTTTTAATTGAAGTATTTATCAGTCTTATTATGGGTTCAGACAGTAAATCAGAATTGTTTTTATGTCCTGCATGCGTATATTATCTAAACCAGGTCCCTTTTTCTTCATAGATTGTACTAATATATTAAAATTTTCCTTATCCAGGTCTGGTATGGTTAGAGTCTCCTTACATTTCTTTTGCTCCTTATATTGTGACACAATTATCTGACAGTCATGTAAAGATGCATATACACATTCTGTGAATTGTTCTCCAAAGGAATTGCACACTGTTTCTATTTTGTTGTTCTTATCCAATAAATATTTCTCTACGACCTCATCTATATTTTTTGTTTTATTTTTTCCCAAAATTGTATTTATATTATTCCAAGTCACTTTGTTTCAATTACCATATTATTTTATCTATAGTACATTATTTATCATCAACTGTTGCAAACTTAAATACAATTAATAGAAATCCGATTATCCGAGCCGCCGAACTAACCAAGGTAATTACACTACTGAACATAGCCTAGCCGTTTTTTTTTCAATTTTGTTCCAGGTCCACAATATTGATAGCCGGGGAAATGCAGTTCCACCGGTAATAAATTGGTTGTTGGTACAAGTTGGTAGAGAAACACCTTTTTATTTGATTATAAATCACTTATTACTGTAATAATAAAGCGTATTCTCAAGTTTGAATTTGATTTTTGTCTAGTAATAACCTATAATTTTTACCGCTGTGTTATCCAAGTTATTGATTATCCGAGGTAGTCTCGGTCCCATTTAGCTCGGATAATCGGACTTCTACTGTACTATATAAAATTTAACTCTTTTGTACTAAAACTACCATAACAGTACACTACAGTCTCTCTAAACAGTCTCTACACTTATACTGTATTGCTAAGCCGTTCTGACCCGTATTGTAAAACAAGGAAAAAATCATTTCCCTCCCCAAAATTCAAAATTGATGTCCTAAAGATCTCTAATATTTGTCACTAAATTGTGACAGTGTAGTTGTATTTTTTTACCTGATGTATATAAGTCAAAGTCCCTCTGACTTTATGAGGCCTCGTCGTGTCCGCCACTTCCACCAGTAACTGAGCCACTTCACTACTGTTGCCGTTCACTTGGACCCGCAGCTTTCTGCTCATCTCGTCTTGACCGTTCTGTAAAATATCACATCTCGTATTCAATTCCATTATACAAGTGTAGCAAGGGAATGCAATCTTATGTCATTGTTTCTTAAAACTATTGGATGTAACTAAATAACTAATTTGACATTTTTCATTTACAAGCAATGGTAAGGGAAATAATTTTTTTCTGTAGGAATATGGTCCTAATTATTTAGCTATAACTTATAAAAATTACAATATAGCGAGGTGAAAATAAATAAACTACCAAATGACATAGGAAGTTCTCAAAGATTATGAGTGATGAAAGTTATGAACCTTGTAAAGTTTCAAGGATTAAGAGTCACAAAGTCTATTCAATTCAATTCAATTCGTTTATTCACGGCAGAAGCCATTGTACAATAAATGCCATTACATACGGGACGGTCTAGATATTAATGACCAGTGTTCCAAGCAGGATTACCACCCTTCCCGATTCAGTAGGGACAGAAAATTTGGCCTGTGTTATGTCTGTGTCTTGGAAGGAAGGGGGGCCTGTCCTGATTTTTTCCTAACCAAAGGTGGCAACCCTGGTTCCAAGGCTAATGTTACTGAAAGGCTATTGTTACTGAACGTTTAAGAGCTAGAAGATTCTAACACTAAGTCAGCAAAAAAGTATAACGTTCCTTAAATACCTGATAATATTCGTTTATATCTACTTTTAAAATACTAAAGTAGATCCCATCAATACGGACCAACTTTTACCTATTTTTTTTTTTTTTAAAGAACATAGATAATGATGATCAAACAATGATCAACTTAAAGGAGTGTACTACCGTATATCATTATTCTTGCTCCTTTGCTTTAGTGACCAAGACAGTTGATGTAACAAGATTACTTACTTTACAATTAGTTGTCCTATTTGTTTGACTTGGTTAAAAAAGTTGGAGTATTTAAACAGAAGCCAGTATTTTACATCATCACAGGGGCAAAATTCAATTATGTTTAGGTACATGGGTACTTCAATCCATAGACAAAACTGATACCAAATAAATATTTAATGCATCAGTGCAGCAATATCTAGATGCTAACAATCTTTAGAAGCTAACCAACTCACCTGTTGTACAAATTTGATGTCTTTTGAGTGAGACAGAGTAATCTCAAAGTCCCTCATAGAAGCAGAACTGTGGTTGGCCAGACTGAGTCCCACACAAACGTACGGACCAATGTCCGGTCTGTCGTCTTGAGCCCTCACCTCATAGTCCTGAGGAAAAACATATAACAATTAGTCAGAACAAAAAAGAATAATAAACAATATTCAACTAAGAACTAGCCACTACTTAACTTTAAATACTTATTAATTACCTACTAATAAAATATATAAAAAAACTGTACATAAAAATGGGTTTTCTGGAAAAATTAGGGGCATGTGCTACAAGTAAAAATGTCAACCAAAACTAATTTTTACAAATTTTATACTCGTATTTTAGAAAAATTTAGAGACATTACTCATTATTTAAGAACAAAAACACTAAATAATAACATTTTTACCTGTATAATATGTACATTTTCCGTCTATTTCAAGTATATCAATTGTTAATTTTGAGTTTTTTTAAAACCCTAGAGGACAGAGTTAATTGACCTTTCATAGTTTTCAATCTAATTCTTAGTCAGCAAAGACCCAGTTTTAAACATTCAAAAACATTTCTCAAGATTTAACTGGCAACCTTTAACACAGTTCGGTCGGTACTAAAACCACTTAGGCATAGCTAAAGCGAACTCCCAACATGAAATGATCACAAAGCCACTTACCACAGTCAAGACCTTGTTGCATGCTAGTCTGGAGATGACAGGTTTGTCTGGGATACAGAAGATCTCCTTGGAAGGAGTTGATATTCCCAGAGCCTCTTCATATCCTTCCTTCAGCTTCACCAACTCATCTTCGCCTCTGTGTCTCTTCTTGTCTTTCTTTGCTAAAAACATCAACAAGATTGAGATGTAGCCAATATGACATCTGTTCAAATAATCACCAAGTGTGGCTTTAAAAACGGGGAGTCGTGCACAGTAGACACTCCATCCCCCTGTTAAAAGTTGTTACAGGTTTATACCATAGTTGAATTGAGCCAGTGAAATTTTGCTGAAAATAAATAGCTGACTCTTCTACCAATGATTTTTTTAACAAACCACACTGAGAGGACCTACAAAATAAACTATACCATCTTTTGTGTCTCGCCAATTATTAAAAACTAAGAGAAATAACGTTTTTGCAGTAGCATACACTATGAAGCAGCTCATTAAGCTATGTTCAATTTGAATGAAATAGGTATAAGCAATCTGTCAAATACTTTCTCCTATCAGCATGTCAACAACCCTTATCGTGGGTAAGCGGTGGGAGTAACTATATTTTATGGGGAAAACACAAAAGTTGCAATAGCTTTTGAACCGTAATTTTTACAGCAATCGGAGTTGAACATTTTGTTTTGAGGGCAAAGGACTAACTTAAAATACAATATATTGATAAGGTAAAACCTTTAAGATATATTTTTAGAAAATTAAATTTTTCCAGTAACTTATTTTATGGGAAAATTACCATAAAAATCAATATTTTTCAATAAATGAAAAAAATGTGATGGATTGGTACCCACATACCAAGTTTCATCAAAATTGGACCACAGATGTGGGTCTGTAGCTCTGTACACATCCACACACACATACAGATATCACTTTGAAACTCACTTTTTTATGTTCAGGGGGACTCAAAACGGATCTTTTCTACCCAAAACTCAAACTTGAACATTTTGACAAAAACAACACTTTCTCCATACTATGTATATAGGGAGAAAGTAAAAATCGGCTACCTAGTTCCTAGGGATGGGGTGTTCATCCTACTGTATCCTAAAGTGAATGGCGTCGCATACAATTTAAAGAATTGAGGATATGAGATATGATGGTCACAGGGTTGTGTGTCTCCATACAGTATGTTGCTACTATACTATATCTTTCTATATGGATTGCTATACTTACTCTTTGACGATGAGTGTTTCTGCTTTTTTGGTTTTTCACTTTTTTCTACGCTTTTCTTCGACTTAGTTTTCTTAGTTTTATGACTAGATGTGGATGGAACTTCTTGGTACTCGGATGGAACTTCTTGGTACTCGTCGTTAAATAACAACATTGAAGGCACTTCCTGAAACACACATTTATTTAAGAAAAAATCAGTCTATATAGTTTAAAGATATAGATAGGCATGGGAGATGAACACCAATAGGTTTGCATCATTATGCTTGCAGTTGTAAATTGAGTAACTAACTTGAATAATAACAATATTCGGTCTCGTTTTTTTTCTTCCACCTCCAATCGTTTGAAAGCCTCCATGAAAACATCCATTGAATTTGACTACCCCTAGTTTCACTGCCCAAGATATTTTGCAGCTATTAAACAAAATTACTAAAAGCATAACAATAATATTTTTAATTTGGTTTACCTTTTCTTTCTTTTTGGACTGGCGAGATTTAGGAGGGTTCGGAGTATTTGTAAACCTATGTTCTAACACTGGAAGCCTCTCTTCTTCTCTCAACGGTCTGAAACAACAATTTTATATGGTGATTCAGGCCACAAGACAATTCTGGTCATTGAAATTCCAATGCAGAAATAATTCATGGTGAATGGTTAAACTATCATCTATCTGCGATATATATATCTACCAGTATTCTTTTCAAAGACAATATTATATTAACACAATAAGGTTTGTGGCTCTACTTACTCGTCTAGATTGATGTCGAGAGCTCTATGAGGATCGTCGTGGTCCCTGGCATCACTGTCACCTCCGTCAGAGTCTTGAGCTCCCTCAGGCATCTCCCCGACCCCTCGATTGACCTGTGGGAAACATCCACAATGAGCACAATGAAGCTAGCACTCAGCATAGCAACGCTGGTGGCGCTGCCTACGAATTGACAGGCAAAGCTCTCTCAAAGTACTTAATGCTTTTTACCATGCGGTTGGCATTCTGGGTTATAGTAGTATGTTTTCTGTGCTAAGGTTCAAGTGACTAAAACATATTAAAAAATAATAATATGATAGATTTTTTTACTGAGAACATTGGGCACTTCTTTCATTTTAAAAATCAGTTTACATAACAAGAATGAACAGCTTATGCCCTTGACACGGGCTGAATATTTTTGTCACAGAAATAAAAAGAATTACTTAAACCTGGAAACTCATAAATTGAAAAACGTTTTTACAGCAGTGGCTAAATATTAATTTAGCCTATAGAGCACTTAACAAGCCGTTTTCTAAAGTAGGGATAAGATTGACAGCTTACTCACCTCAACTGGAATAGGTTCCACAGTTTCCTCGTCTGAACTATGATCTTCTACTTGTCCTGTACTTTTCTTCTTCTTGCGTTTCTTAGACTTCTTTTGCGTCTTCTTGTTTTGGTAAGTGAGACCTGTAAAATGCATTATTAATTATAATTATCGATTATCAATCATCGAGATGTGGACGCCACCTAGGTGCGTATCAAAACCCGAATATGAGTAAAGGATGAGTGTAGAATGGTGTGAGATGATCTGTGTAGCTTTGTTACTGACTAAGATCAGCTGTTTGATTAGCCAAGATCATTAATTTATTTATAAGGAACAGCCGGATCCAATTTCCAACTATTATAAATCTTACTGACTTTTCTCAGGATCAAACCGGCGCGACCTTTTGATTGTAAGGCGAGCACTATAACCACTCGGCTATCCAGCCAATCAAAAGATTTAAAGTAAAAAAAAATAACCAAAATGAAAATTATTACATCACTAAAATTGAAAGCGGCTATAAAAAATCTACAGTGATTAATTTTATCCTACATTAGAATAACTTAGGAGGCAACATATCGTGTAACCAATGGTAACAGAATACAAACTCAACAACGTGAATTGTTCAATATCAGCTGAATTTACATTGTAGGTACAGATTTTGTGTCATAGACATTTTGTAAATTGTCTTAAGAATCTGGATTTTTTAGTTACCTGATGTTATTTTCAGCGGAACCTGCAGATCTATTGGAGCAACCGGGATGTTGGAAACCGAGTCAGTCATCTTGAGATAGTGAGGATTCATAGATTGTTCTACCTTCCTTGCCTCCCTCATCTGCACACACAAGATGTCATAAGAAAAATGAGATAAGCCTCCAAGATATTTTCAATAGCTTTGAAAAATGTGTGCCACTGCTTTGTTGCTAGTAAATTAAGGTAGAATGAGGAAACTTAACCATTTACGCTCCAAAAGCAGATGCACAAGGTCATCACAAGGTAAGAAAAAAACATGGTTAAGGCCCTGTATTATCTCTGGAGTTGAAAAGGGTAAGGCTATCAATCTAGCATTTCAAAACAAGAATTATGAACATGACAGTAAAAAAGCAAACCATAACGAAGCAGCATTATAACATAATGGTCACCATCTTAAGAAAAGTCTGTAAAAATAAACAAATCTTTAACTATCAAGTCTGGACACTAATCTTAACTAAAAAGTTAAAGAATTAGTTAAGCAACAAATTTACCAATAAAAATTCCACACAATGCGATGATTTTTTAAATGTTTATCCAAACCCATCCAACATGTAAATTTACCTTTAATAGTGTGTCAAATGACTTGGCAAAAGGATTAGATGCATGGCAAAAGGGTAAAGATTAGCACAGTATTATATGCTCTCAGAATTTTTTTTGGTATTTTTTACTTGACAAGAAGGTAAAAAATAATCATCAAACTTAGAGCGTATTTTTCAAACCAACCTTTTTCAATTGTTCTTCAGTAGGTTCAGGATTACTCTTGGGCTCTGATGTCTTGATGAAGATGTCCGCTACAGGGTTGGTCGCCTCTGCTTCTTCTTCTTCCTCCGATTCTGATGAGGGAGGCGGAGGCTCATTGATCCAAGCGTCCAGATCCAAACTGAAACAAACATCAGGAGAAACTATCAATAAATTTAACCTAGGCTGTGACAAAGCCTAAGAGCTGTCTAATACCCATTAAAAAAAAAATTACTTTGGCCTTATGGTTAGGGTCTGTGGGTCCCCGATATTTTTGGGTAAAAAAGTGGAAAGGGTCTGCGATCAAAAGTGACAATTCCATCAGATTTTTATACGTGACGTTTACTGCTATGCAGTGATCGTAGGAGACAATAATTGTGTTGCTGTGAGCACAAATAAAGATGTTCTTCAATTCCCCTTGAGTACCGTAAATTTTGCAATTTTACCATGACCTCTCAAAATATGTTCAAGATTTTATCAAGACTTTGGAAGACGTTCACGGTTTTGTTGTGACCGCAGAAAATGTTCATGATTTCACCAACAATACACGGGAGATTGTAGCAATGTTGTTAACGGATTTGAGTGATTAAGTTAATTTTTTATCAATAATTAATTTACAAAGCAACCAATCTTAGCCCGGCCTTAATTTTGGAGACCCCAACAAAAGCGAACATTTTTTACCCGACTCAAAGTAAAAAAAAAGTCCTGCGAACTCCTAGCTATTAGCAATCATTAGATTAATCATTCAAATAAATAAAAATTATTATTTTGTTCTTATGACACTGGCATCTATTCTTCACATTGGACACTTTAAATTTGCTATAACTAATCCTTACCCTTCGGGTATTTGCACTTTCTTCTGAGCCTTTGGAGCGACCGGGTTGAGTTCTCCACTGAAGAGTGCTGCAATATCTGCAGCAACCTGCTCAACATCTCCCTCATCCTGCAGTCTGCTGCGTACCACCTGCAGCAGCTGCACAGCACTACTGGCTCTCTCCTGTACCTCTAGATCAGCACTGCTCACATACTGCAGTAGCCCTTCAATCACCAGGTCACACTCCTAACAACATAAAAGAGCATAAAGAACTTGCTTTGATTGCAAGTGAAAATGATTATGTCTCTCAGACAGCAAGAGATGTTTACAAAATTGCTCCAATCAAATATTACTTTTTGTACACCCCTTGAAAAATGCACAGACAACTTTTACATATGTCCACACAAGCTGACAAACAAATTTGAATGAATAAAAAACAATCGGAAAAAGCACCAGATGCTTCTGAAAAAAAAACAAAAAACAGTAAACCTTTACAACACAATTTAAAATGTTTGATGGACCCATACCTTGATCGCCTTTTCCACATCAGACTGGCCCAAGATCACTGAGAACACTTTCAGTATGTTCTGCACATAGAACGCCTGTATATGGCCAGGAAGGGCGTTCACTCTGCCGCTCAGCATGGCTTGTAGCGTGGCTTCCGGATCTGTTAACTCCCTGCAACACCAATAATTACATGGGTCATGTTCTGAGTAAAACAAAAAAAAACTTGTTAAGCAGAATACTAAGTGGAGAGAGAACGTTCCCAAAGTTGATATGAAAATGTTTTGTCGTCTATGTATAAAAACTATACAACATTCTTAAGATGGTTAAAACATGTTGTAAGACTTTTCTACAAATGGACCAAGCACCCTATGAGGTTGTAAACCCCATTCTAGGCAAAGGAAAGTAAACCAGTTATTTACAGACTTAAAGGTTGGATTAGACATATAAAAGACCGACACACCAGGTGGTGTAGTTTAACTATAAGTGTAAAATGAAAGAGATGACAGCTTCCTTAACTAAGATCAACTTGTCCTTTAACCAGGACAATTTAAAAACCCAACGATCGAGAACAGTAAATTTCAAACCATCAAAAAGCTTCTGATATTTCTCATTATTAAACCAGCCAATTTTTGATTACTAGGTTATATCAACTGATTTCTATGATTGCTACCCAGCTATTCTCAGTCTTGAAAGGGTTAGATAACGTTTAAGTTCCACCTTGATCAACTCACGTTGCAAACTCTCCCGCGATCCAGGCGGCAGCGTACAACACGTCGGCCATCTTGGAGCCAGGTTGTGTGAGAAGGTGAGTGTTCTCCAGCAGCAGAGCCATGTGCCGTACAGCGTATCCACGGATAGCCTGCACTCGGATAGCGACATCCAGCATCTGTGTGGCTACTAGTGGTCCGTGTTGTGTACCTTCCATCCGGGTCAGCTCTACTAGGACACTCACATACCTGCGGGATAAAGTCGTGGTTAGGTTTTACGTGTTCTAAACAAAAGCAACATGAGTAGTTTTGGGAGGATATGTTAGCTTTTGGCTAAGACTATGATAAGGGAGAAGGAATGGATAGATAACCATAACCATTATGGATAGCGTTTAATTTAACCAAGAAAAAAGCTTTAGATTTTTACAAAGAGTGTCACAACCTCAAAACACTTTCAAATCTTATTTTCAGTTTGAATCTGTATAAAATGTAAAATGTTGATTTAGTGGCTCATATAGGTACAATTTTAGCAATTTTTAGGGCCACAACTTTTAAATTTATAAAGTTTGGTAAAAAACATGTTGGGAAACTTTTAATAGGCTAAAAAATATAAAAAAGTAGCCTATGTTACCAAATAGTTTTCCAAAATACTACTCCAAAACTCTCAAGTTGATTGATTTGAAAAAATAACAAAATTGTGGATTAGGGCTAAACAACTAAAATTGGATTATGGCAGTTACCAAAAAAGGCAAAAAACACACGGTTCCGGTGCAATCATCAAAATAACTCGCGGTCATGATCGCCGTGATCGTTGGTATAACTCCAAGGTCAAGGAGGGATAGTCAGTATGACTACACGGTAACGGCGCGATCGTCGGTATGACTCTGCTGTCACAGCATGATCGTCGGTATGACTCGCGGTCTCGGCGTGATCGTCGGTATGACTCCGCGATCACGGTGCGATCGTCGGTATGACTCCGCGATCACGGTGCGATCGTCGGTATGACTCCGCGATCACGGTGCGATCGTCGGTATGACTCCGCGATCACGGTGCGATCGTCGGTATGGCTACGCGGTCATGGCGTGATCATCGGTATGATTCCACGGTCACGGCGCGATCGTCGGTATGACTCGCGGTCTCGGCATGATCGTCGGTATGACTCCGCGGTCACGGCGCGATAGTCAGTATGATTCTATGGTTACGGCGCGATCGTCGGTATAACTCCGCGGTCAAGGCGTGATCGGCGGTTTGACTCCGCGATCAAGGCGTGATTGTCGGTACAACTCTGCGGTAACGGCGCGATCGTCGGTATGACTCCGCGGTCATGGCGCGATCGTCAGTATGACTTCGTGGTCACGGCGCGATCGTCGGTATGATTCCGTGGTCACGGCGTGATCGTTGGTATGACTTCGTGGTCACGGAGCGGTCGTCGGTATGATTCCGCGGTCACGGCGCGATCGTCGGTATGATACCGCGGTCACGGCGTGATCGTCGGTTTGACTCACGATCTCGGCAGGGTCGTCGGTATGACTCGCGGTCTCTGCGGGATTTTCGGTATGAATCCGCGGTCACGGCGTGTTAGTCGGTATGACTCCGCGGTCACGGCGCGATCGTCGGTATGACTCCGCGGTAACGGCGCGATCGTCGGTTTAACTCGCGGGCTCGGCGGGATCGTCGGTATGATTCCACGGTCATGGCGTGATCGTTGGTATGACTCGCGGTCACGGCATGATCGTCGGTATAACTCCGTGATCAAGGCGTGATTGTCGGTACAACTCTGCGGTAACGGCGCGATCGTCAGTATGATTCCGTGGTCACGGCGTGATTGTTGGTATAACTTCGTGGTCACGGCGCGATCGTCAGTATGATTCCGTGGTCACGGCACGATCGTCGGTATATTTCCGCGGCCAAGGCGTGATCGTCGATATGACTCCGTGGTCACGGCACGATCGTCGGTATATTTCCGCGGCCAAGGCGTGATCGTCGGTATGACTCGCGGTCTCGGCATGATCGTCGGTATGACTCCGCGGTCACGGCGCGATCGTCGGTATAACTCCGCGATCAAGGCGTGATTGTCGGTACAACTCTGCGGTAACGGCGCGATCGTCGGTATGACTCCGGGGTCACGGCGTGATCGTTGGTATGACTTCGTGGTCACGGAGCGATCGTCGGTATGATTCCGCGGTCACGGCGCGATCGTCGGTATGAAACCGCGGTCACGGCGTGATCGTCGATATGACTCCGCGGTCACGGCGCGATCGTCGGTATGATTCCGCGGTCACGGCGTGATCGTCGGTTTGACTCACGATCTCGGCAGGGTCGTCGGTATGACTCGCGGTCACGGCGTGATTGTCGGTACAACTCTGCGGTAACGGCGCGATCGTCAGTATGATTCCGTGGTCGCGGCGTGATTGTTGGTATGACTTCGTGGTCACGGAGCGGTCGTCGGTATGATACCGCGGTCACGGCGTGATCGTCAATATGACTCCGTGGTCACGGCACGATCGTCGGTATATTTCCGCAGCCAAGGCGTGATCGTCGGTATGACTCCGCGGTCACGGCGCGATCGTCGGTATGACTGCGGTAACGGCGCGATCGTCGGTATGACTCCGCGGTCACGGCAGGATCGTCGGTATGACTCGCGGTCTCTGCGGGATTTTCGGTATGAATCCGCGGTCACGGAGTGTTCGTCGGTATGACTCCGCGGTCACGGCGCGATCGTCGGTATGACTCCGCGGTAACGGCGCGATCGTCGGTTTGACTCGCGGGTTCGGCGGGATCGTCGGTATGATTCCGCGGTCATGGCGTGATCGTTGGTATGACTCGCGGTCACGGCATGATCGTCGGTATAACTCCGCGGTCACGGCGTGATCGTCAGTATGACTTCGTCACCTGCGTTTTTACTCGTGAAGCGGCAAAATCTCCGATGATCGGATCAAATCCCATCCTGAAAAATTCCGGAATCAAATGTAATCCTGTCCCAAAAAATGGAAATATTTTTTCCCGAAATTTCTAACATGAATAATACACTAATTTGTTAGAGATTATATGATTTTCAACTAACCACTCAAAGTTGGTGATATACTGGTAGTTGTTCTGTGAGCAGATGTCTATGATCTTGGACAGTAGCTCGTCTCTGTAGGTCGTACCCTCTGCTTTGTCCATGTGAACCATCAGCTTCTTCACTATCTCCACCAGTGTCTTCTTTGACACCTGGAACACAGAATAAATATAGACATAACGTAAAATATACTGCAAATAGTGAGTCGTTAATTTATTCAGTGATAATAGCATAGACTAATATAATAAATATAGACTGTCAAAGGAAGGTTCCGCGATGTGCCGCTAGAGTGTGCTCGGTGTTTGATTTGCTCCCGCTGTCGGCTCCTCGCTGTCTGCTACCAGCACTAACACTCTTGCAAATGAAATGCTACCGAAGTAACAGACCTACTTTTCAATATTCCTTTACCTCCGGCTTAACCGTTTGCAAATTGCTGTAGCTCTCCAAGCGTTTAAGTTACTGCTCAATATTAATTAAGTCAGTAAACTCCAATCCCCCGGATTCCAGGATTTCCGAAATTGGCAACACTGGTCCCAACAAACAAGTTGTCATGGCAACAGTTGCTATCACTTTAGCCGCAACAGTGTTTGCCATACCTTAACAGCACTCCTAGAGGTGGACACCAGAACATTGCTAACCACAACACTAGTGTCCGGTCTATGTTTAATTATTTTTGCCCATGATAATGATTCTCAATAGCTTGTGTCTTGTTCACTAATTGATTTTCAAGACTACAAATTATTTGTATTCTGAGTTTACAAAATAACTCTCTAAAATAACTTAAGGAATTATAAAGTAACTATATGAATCACTGACCATTCCATAGAGCAGATCCAATGCTCGCAGCCTGATGGATTCGTCCTTATCATCTAGACACTGCATTACCAGATCCTTATGTGATTGGACAGACTTAGGGTGAGACTTGAGTATCTTGGACATGGCAAGTAGGCCTAGGTACTTGACTGAAACATTGCACAAGAACATCAATGAACAAGCTGATTAAACACTTTCCTGTCAAAAATGGAAATTTTTGAGAACTCCAGAGAATTTGGAGTAGAAGAACAAAGAATTCTGAACTTTAACTTTAACTGACAGGCTGTATCTATTCAATCTTGTCGGGTTTTTTTTCTGAAGAAGTCTAAACACCTCGATACTGATCTCCTCTTTAAAACGTTCTACATCAGGATAAAATATCTTTGTTATGTTTAGTTACCTTTTTTGTGTAAATTGGACTATATTTTTTCAGTCATTGTAAAGTAACTAAACTCTATTTATAAAAAAACAATGCTTATAAATTCCATGCAAAATTTTTAAAGACTTGCTTTGAAGTTGGGTAAATTTACCTCTTAAATTGGGTTGAGATATTTTCCACGGTTGAACTTGTGCCTATTCAGTTTTGAAATTGGTAGCCTATATAGGTCCTGTAATAATAATAAGATAAGGCTGATCTGGAAGATTTATTTTGCTCGAGTTATTTTTATCATAAAGTTATCCTAGCAGTAATTTATTTAAACTTATAAACGTTTCGTTTTGATTCTGTATTTGATTCAATCTGTAAATGCTTAATAATCGGACGATAAGGCTACTTAAAATATAAGGCTGAACTTCAATGGCTACTTACGGTTTTGGTCTGAATCTTCAATGAGGATCCTTAGCTTCTGCACACAAAGCTAAAAAACAAAACACTGTTATTTTGATAATAATTAAAGATATGCAAACAGAAAATTTAGTGCCGTAACGGTGTTGGGTTTTAAAATTTTGCAACCCACCCCCACCAAAATTAGAATAGCTACTATATTAAAATATGTTTTTAGAGACAATTTTTGAAAATAATGAAAGCAAGAGAAATAGAAAAACTAAATGTTATCAAAAGAAATTTTCTGATTTATCAACACATAAAAAAAATAAAAAATACAAGAAACACCTAATTTTAGTTTTATAACTGTCCAGTTACTAGTTATTATATGCTTGCAATTAAACAAATAATTTATTGTATTATTAAATTGTATGTTTACCTTGCTTAAATACAATATTTGATCATGAACGTTACCTGAATGGAGGCACTGTGGTTGGGCATTCCAGAGGAAATGGAGATGAGAACTGAAACAGTTGAAAAAATCTATTAAAAAACCAAAATGTATTATCAGCGGTCTGAAAACAATCAGATAAACAGTAGACAGAAAATAACACATGTGGGAAATGAAAACAATCGGATAAACAAGGAAATATGGGAAATCTACCTCCTGTATACACCTCCTGGTTAATGTATTATACTTAAATTCAAATGGTTTACAATAACTGCTTTTAGTAATCCTTGGTTGCTAGTGGCAATTAGTTAGTTTCGGCTCTTTCTCTTAACCATCATCAGGCCCCCGGTTCATAAAGAGTCATGTCGTAACTACATTTGAAGGTCATTAATAGTGTTCAATAAATAACAAACAGACAAGAACTTGAAGAAACATGAACGGATATAAAAAAAAAACACTGAATAAAAAAGTCATTGACATTTTTAAGCGAACACACAGAGAAGTAAGGTACAGAGGAAGCATTCAATAATACAAGTAAGTGGTGTCTAGTACTAGTGCTGGTGTAAAGCGCAAAGTACAACACCACCCCCTCGCCCTCATGTACTACAATGCTCAGGATGGAGGAAGACCCGTGCCCTGTACGATAGGAATTTCCGCACAATGCTAGTCGCTCAGGCTCTACCTTGCTCGTCACAAGTATATTTCCAGCACAACACACTAGAGCTAAAAGCGCACAGTTGTCCCATTAGCAGATTTCACCTTCTCTGTGGCAAATGTGACCGTGCTGAAGTAAAGTATAGACTAGCGGTCAAGGTGGCTTATGTGAATGTCCTTTTGTTAATTTAGTGTTCTTTGTAAAAGTTGTAGGTTTTATTTTTTTGTCTGTTGTTATTACTATTGAACTACATTAACAACCTTCAAGTAAGCATGACTAGACTCCTTATAGGCCTGATGATGGTTCAGATTAAGAGCCAAAACGAGTTGCCTACAACAACCAGGGATTACTATATAGGTATTGTAATCTATTTTAAGAAAGCTTTTTGTTGCCAACTTCTTTTAAGTAAAGTTACAGTACAATAACAAAATATAATAGGTAATAGAAAATATTTAGGCCTATTTAAATAGTTACCTGCAATTACAGTGTTGATGCACTCATAGAGCAGCGACATAGCCGAGGTGCTGAAAATACAAATACATGTAAGATTAAGATTATAGGCCAAATCAATGATCACAAGCTATCTGTTGGTCATAACTAGAATTTTCAAAACTTTGACTTGGTTATGGATGTTAAATGGAACGTGACAAATTAAACAGCGTGCAGTTGTGAGAATAATCACATAATTTCTTGGTTTTTACTCCTCTAAGAAATTTGACAAAATGTTTCAAAGTTATAACAAACAATTATCTTTTTACTTCTAAGTACCCTTTTGGAATAAAAACTACACTGATCCCATACCAAAACACAAAGTCTACAGTATAACTACTTCCCAAGTGGAATTTTACTTAAAGTTTTGCTTTACAAAACCAATTTCAACACCTACGTAAATTGTGCCTCCTAAAACAGCTCAACAATATAATACTTTACAAAGACGCTAGTTGTAAATTATTGAAATTATAATTTAATTAAAATTCTTACATAAAACTATAAATACTGGTAATAATTACCTGTGGATGAGGTTGGTGAGGGGTTCTATGAGTTTCTTACCAAGCCGAGGTTCTAAAGGGGTCAACGCTCCAAACTGCAACAATACAGGAGGATTACTACGAGAACAAACATGACTAAACTAGGTTACCTGCAGATCAGTTCGATCAGTGGTTGAGAAAGTTTTCTGCCGATCCGTGGCTCTATCAATGTCAACACTCCAAACTGTAACATGCATGATTAGAACTAGACAAGGAAATAAAAATGATCAACCATCTTCACTATCCAGTTTTGGAAAGATAACATAGTTTTAGTAGAGGAGTCATCTCAAAATAGCATACAACATATAGATGGCAAGACACATCCGTGGATAAGCTCACATCTAAATATAATTTATTTTGCAAATAAAGATATTGGGCTAAATAATTTAAACTCAGTACAAAAATGTATTTTACTTTTGTGGGCCTATACAAATTTTCTGTAGAAAGCGTTTGAAATGAAATTACGGTAATCAAAATTATCTCCCACATAAAGGAGAATTCACTTCTGTGCGTGGAAGTCATTAAATTTTTGAAGATTTTTTTCCCAAATAGGAGTTTGGTACGTTGGAAAGTTACGCTGGAGGGCTAAGTGAATGGTGGCTGACATTCCATTAATTGACAACTGGAAAAACAGTAGACCCCTCCCCCTAAGAAATAGAATAATTCTTGTTCTAAACGGACAAGAATTATTTTACAAACAGAATTCATATATGAACACATACCTGATGGTGTTAATTAATCATTATCTTATTTGTTGTTTTTTATAATGGATGTAAGCAGAAATATTTTTTTTTGTTCAGTATATTTATTAGGCCTAGTTTACTTATTAGCATGACGACAGTCTTTCTTTGTACTTTGTAGCCTACTTTCCAAGATGTTATTAGTGAATATAGAATTTGAAATTGAATTCTTGAAATTTTCAGTCATTTTAGTTTAAAACCGTACATTTAACTAACCTATAAGGTTTTCAATTTCTGCATAATCCCATTGGGGAAATTGATACATTATTTTAGGCTACTTTTTTTAATGTAGGTAGGCCTAGTTGACACAACTAACCAATTTGATGATCTTGATTAGCATCCAGTTGTTGGTAGATGTAGTCATCAGTTTGAAGAAGACAGGCGCAAGACTAAGGTAGTTCTTTGGGTTCTTCCTCGCCAGCTCACAAACTACATTAACTGCGGCAGACTGCACTCCTAAGAAATTAAAAATAAATTGTTATTTTTTTATCAAGATATAATACATTGTTATAGTACAAAATACATTGTTATACTTAGACTTGTCATTGTCATAAAAAGTGTGAAAATTAGTCTTCGGCGTTCGCAAGGTTAATACCGCTTACTGTATTTCTGACCACTCACTGTATTTCTATGTTTGGTTGCAGCCACAACAATAGCTTCTTCTCACCAGGACCAGGTTTTCTTTTTTTAGTTTGAAGTTTCTCTCTAGGTACGCCTTTCACAATTAAACAAACATAGAAAAACAGTTCTTCCAAAGCTATTGGCCTGCCAAGCGTTTAGGAGTTTCCATTGTCTGTACCCCTGTACCTCCAAACTACAAGGACAACCAAAATGAAATTCATCCCAGCTCACCGTTTAAAATACTGCGGCCAGTACCCATTAAGATTTAACATAAAAATATTTTTTCCGATCAAGGGTTAGTGTAGGCCTAGATACTTTCACTAACACTATATACCTGACTATGAACGTGTTAATGCCCATAATTAGCCTATAATGACTATCACAACTTTTACTAACCTGAATCAGGATCTTCCAACTTTTCTTTCAGCCGAGGAAAAGCAGGCCTTAGGGCTTCAGGGAATCTTAAGAACACTTTGTACATCATCAGCACTGCCTTTTTCCTTAGATAAGGTTTTGTTGAAGTCAACTGTAAAAAAACGCAATTTATTTTTTATTTTATTTTATTTTATTTTGCATGCTACAAAACAGAATACAAATCCCATTAACATTGCAGCACTATTCTAGTTTGTACAAAAATTGAGAACATGCTATGAGTTCATAAAATTTAATAAAGTGAATCGTTCATAGACTAAGAATAATAAATATTAATTTACTATTGGAAACCGTAACATACATGCTTAATTTATTTGTACTTCCTTAATTTTAAAACCTTAAATGGGTAATTCAAATATTATTTTTGATTGCAAAATTTTAAAGCATTGTACAACTAAAGTTGACTTCCTCTTATCACAACTCCTCGGGACAAAGGTTAGTCTGGATAACGATCGTTCTGGATAAACCAACATTCCCTAAATGTCCCAAGGACGTTAGGCCTAAGTTAGGAACGTCTAGAATATCTATCACTCATAAAGTAATTAAAATAAGTTATATTTTACTTAAATTTGGGAGATCATTTTATTTAATACGTACGTCAACGCTGGTCTCAAATTCTTCCCACAAGAAGTTGTTTCAGTTCCCCCCACTTCCTGTCAATCCAGTCAACTTAAACAGAAGGGGGGGTCTACAAAATTGCCGGGTTAAAGAGTTGTCACTTCTGCTAAGTGTAGTCCGGTTGAACTGATGTCCAGATAAGAGAGAGTCTACTATTTTATTTTAAGATTTAAAAAAAGAAAAACGCACAGAAAACAGCATCCACGCGAGCACAGTGTTTTAATAGGGCCTAAAACTGCAAACACATGGTCATGGCTTCACTCCCCACTAGTCGCTTGCTGACCTTTTGTCATTATTTACCATTGGTCAATCACTTTCCCACATGCTTTTTCGGTGCCAACCCTCCTGACTTTGACTAGTCACAGTAAATTTGTTTAACATATCATTGTGCTGTTGTAATTTTTCAGTTTTGAGCTTTTCATTAGTTTAAGCATTGTTCAGGATGGTAAAAATCAAGCAAAATATTTGACTAAACCCTTAGATTTTTTGTTTGTTTTAGGACGCTAGGCACGAGTCCGGGATTGTTTTTTGCATTACTTCAGGCTAGACCTAGGGGTTGCGGCATTATCACTTGGATAAAATCCATTGGTGACTTGGCGGCGCGCTCTAACCACTACAGCAGCTTGCTCCCTCGACTAAACCCTTAGTAGGCCTATTTGAACCATCCTAGTTCCATTCTACAAGCTAATATTATTACCAGTGTCATAATGTCATTAGCCAGATCACGGGCTAGGTCTGGACTGATGAAGCAGGACAGTGCAGAGAGAGCAAGTCCTGCGTCGTACTGGTTCTGACTGTTCAGGTCCTTTCTGATCATGTTTGTCGTCAACATCAACAGCTGTCAACAAACAATAAACATAATATAGGCTATCTTTCTATTTAAAAAATAAACCTAGACCCAGGGAGTTTGAAAGATAAAAGTATGTCAAATATGATCACTAAGATTCCCTATACTGTGACCTCAACACATTCCAGTTAAGTTTAAGAGAAAGATAAGTAAAGAATGAATGTAATTTAAATTTAAATTAAGGTCATATTACTAAAACAGTTGATTCTAAGTCTAGAACACAAATTTCATGAGAAATATTGAACAATAGAGGCCTAATCCAAAGATTAAAAAAATAGGTTTCCAAGCTTAGGCCTACTTATAGAGGAGAACAAAACCTTATTTAAAATATTGGTGTTCAGGCTATAGAACAGGCTAGAAAAACATGTTTTACCAGAGGTAACAATTTAAGTTTAAATGTTAAAAATATAAACATATATTTAATTGTGAAACAAATATCACTTCATACTGACCTCTGTGTCAGCATGAAAACACTGTGAGGATGCTAAATATCCTATGCGTTTATATGTAAACTTAGAAGAGCTCATTACTTCAATGATGTTGAATCCAGCCCAGCTCATATCATAGCCAAGCATTTGAAGCTGAAACAGACATATAAGAATTTACACAAATTGTAAAACAATTAGGCCAACAGGCTACATTCTCTAGTCATTTGAAAATGAGTAGATTCGTTACCAAAGTAGGCTAATATTGAAAGCAGAACTTTGTTTTAGTGAACGATAAACTCATCTATGATAGTGGTTTAAATAGTGGTTTAACCTTATTCAATGGATTAACGTACCTTATTGTGGATAAACTCATCCTATTGGTTGACGTAAAGCAAAATCAATAATATTTTCAATGGTAAACCTTAGGACTTTGTTCTATCAGCTAAAGTTTTATAGCTTGCAATTGCACTATGAACGCAAGGCACAATAGGCCACAATCTTTTCTGCATTTAGGCCTAGCGCACACGGTCGATTTTTCGATCGGCCGATAAAAAAATCGGCCAAAAATAAATCCCCCTTGATTTTTGTCTAGGCGCACACGTGGCGATTTTTTAGTCGAGAAATTGATTTTTTTTTAGTGCGTTTAAGCTATCCTAAAATTGAATTTGTTGAATTAACCTGTGTTTGTGCTCTTCTAATTAGACCAAAGAAAAAAAGAAGACAAATTAAATATTGGGTTAATCCGATAGTAAGTCAGAGACTTTAAAATCGACAGTTTTATAGACAATACACTTTACGTGATGACAGTAAAAAGTTCTCTAATTACTATATAATGTCTGTTGAAAGTTTCAGTTTTTATTATAGGCTAACAGCTGTGGCCTTTTTAGCAAAGAAAACAACACAACTCACACTACTCCTGTGGAGAACAACAAGTCACTGGCCGATTTTTTAGTCGACCGTGTGCGCGGACTGATAACAATCTGTACGTTAAAGATTTTCGGGCGACAATCGCCTCGCCTACGAATCTGTGGCAAAACCCAGATTTTAAAATCAGCGCAATTCTCGATCGCCTGTGTGCGCGCTTCCATTCAAATACATGATGCACAGATCGGCTGATGAAATAGTCGCCTCAAAATAATCGCTTGTGTGCGCCTAGCCTTAAAGAAACCTCAACAATCTGCAGTTCTAATATTTTTCTGTATTTAGGTGGTAGGCTATTCTGGAAGCCCTCACTTTACTATGCTAAATTGTTCTCACAGTAACCACCCTTTACTTACATAGGTTAGTTTAGCCACAGCAGTAGCTTTGACGGCAAGGTTGTCCTGGCGTAACTCTTGCTTTATCTCTTCTATACACTGAGCAATGTACTTTGCCTGTAAAAGAATAACTTGTTAGTCAAAACCTAAGTGTGGGTTGGAAAATGTGGGGTCGATATAATTCTAAATTTTTTATATGGAGCCTCTTTGGGCTTTTGATGGAATGATAGGCCCATATTACCTACTAGCCTATTAAAATAAAATCCAGTAGATTTAGTTAGCGTTTTGTTACAGGTGATGTTACTAAATGAAGCTTTCTAACAGACTGTTAGGATTGGATGGTTGTCCTAAAAATAACAGGCTTCTTAGACTGTTCCCTTAGGCCTACACACTTTTCAATGCAAACTGTGACACCATCTTGGTTGTGATGTTTTACTGTGGTGTGACTTTGCTGGAGAGGCGGTATGAGAAGGGTCGGGGTTATTTATGATCTAGGCTATTGCCAGTTTCACGTGTCTTTACAAGAGCCTAAAAAAGCTAAAATAAAAAAGGGATGTTTATAGGAATGCACCTGATGTTTATAATGGGAATCGCTGGTGGCTCTTAGGCTACCTACATCTTATAATATCTGGAGTCTTCTCCACGATCAGCCAATCGGGGACTACTCGTCAATATTGCTCAATTAACTTGCCAAACATAACTTCAGATATATCTCACAAACGTTAACACTAGGCTATTTGGTAGGACTGGGGCAAAATTACTTAAAAATCATCAAAAATATAAGCCTAACCTAAGTTACCGGTAGCCTACTGTAGCTAAACAAATAAAGTTAGTTTTTTGCAGAGAATTTGGCCCTAAGTTAAGTTAGGCTATAACAATCTAGCAAGGTGATGTGCATGTTTGTGGCAAATCTCTCAGTTATGAGAGATCATGAAATCATACTTAGGCCTAGGCATGGGCCTTAACTTAAGTTACCTCTGGCTTGATTAATTAAGAGAGCTATCTGCAGATAGGCCTAGCCTAGCTTAGTGAACCGCAAATAGCCTACCTAGTATTGATCTGAGGATGTGACCTCTAGTGGCCATGCCATGAAACCTAAGTTAGGATTGGTGGAAGATGACCATTGACGAAGTAGGCCTAAGTCAGGGCCAAGAGCATGGAGCTTGAGAAGTTCAAACCCAGTAAGTTAGGTAGGCCTACCTATTTAAACAATGTTTTGTTTTTAGGCCTTAGCTTAAGTTACGACTACAGTAAGTAACTTAGGTTAAATCCTAAAATAATGAAAAAAGCTCAACAGTAATCTTGGCCTAGGCCTATGCCTAATCTTAAGATAACACAGAACAGACACATTTAAAATTATTAACTCTACCTACCTCATTGTCTTTATTATTCCTGATTCCTCTCACTAAATCAGTTAAATTCTTGTCAAACATCCTTTCCATAGTCCCCCGCACTTTCTTGAGAGCCATATTTATATCACTGTTTCAACACTATAAGTTAATAAGTAAACAAAACCTATTAATGCTATTCCTTTAGAGATTTTAGAGGTTATTTAACTAGCCAACTAGGCTCAGCCTTTGACATCTCCAGATTTATGTAACACAATATGAAATGAATACAAACAGCTGTTGAACACCGATTTCCTAGATTCGGGATTATTGTCTAAATCCACTATAAACAAAATTTAACCTTCCAGAGAATTTGCATGACGCTTGAACTAGCTCATGCTCATGAAGATAATGAGAATAAACAATTCACATCAGAAACAAATCCGAACAGAAAGTTTAAAGTTAATAAAATCAGTGTGTATACTACTATGGATAAAGTGAAGACAAGGCAAACTCAACTCACAAAGGCTATCTATCTATATGAATCTGACATGCGGATGAAAAGAGGCTTCACAAACTTTAGACACATTAATCGAAAACATCGCAGTCGAATCGCAACGATCATTAGTTCGAACTTGAAGTCGATACTTCCTCTACAACATACTCTGGCCTAGGATCAAGGCCTAGGATAGCATAGCACTGGCAGCAGTGAGCAGTGCAGCAATTAGTGCAAAGCAAAAAACGATTGGTTCTTTGTTCATCGAGTGTGAAGATGCTTCATAACTGCGATATGAGCTATCGGTGACGAATGTTTGTGAATCCTATGCTATCCGGTATGTATAGTTCCTTTTTTTTATTAATCTTTAGCAACACAAAACTAGACTAACTGTTTATCATGAAGCTGCTTAGTTTTCCAGCTTGCCATACCAATATATTTTCCCATACAGTATATACTTTCATTGATTAATGGTATTTGTTATTTAACTCTAATATCCAACAGCTATCTATGATTGACGATAATAACTACGACAAGGGCCCAGACTTCGGTTTTTAAATACACATTTTCATTTTCATAATAATTTATTTTTGAGTATTAAGTAGGCTATTAGTTCACAAAGTTCAAAAGGGAGCTCTCTGAAATGTAGTCCTATACAGGGCATAGTTTTGGGAAGGCCATTTCACAGATGCTTCCTTTTGAACTAACCTTTTTTTAATAGTTTTGTAGTGATTCGAATAGTGTATTATTGGAATAATGCCGCAGTTTTGGACGATGGTTGCAGGTAATATGGTATTAATAATGTATTGTGAAATAAATGTATTCTGTAGGCTACTATTTGATCATATGGATATTGCAGCATAAGGCATATCAAGGGCACTGGGCTTCGCACCTCTAGACACATATGGTCTCAGCATCACAGCACTGACGAGGTATCTCTTCATCTGCCTTGTTTCGCTTTGAACTTTCTATAATATCGTAGCATTGTGTGGACTCCCTCCCGACACAGTAGGGGAAATTGGCCGCCTTCAGAAAATCCAAAGAAGGTATTTTTTCGAGTTGTTGAACTCAAGATGGGTTACAACTTACAACTACCGGTATACAGCGATATCCAAGCGAGATCGTAACTCAATAATTGGGCTTCAATCGTTACTTCCGAGAATAGAGTTAGCTGATGTTACATTTATCGTGAAGTTTCTAAATGGCGATATCTGATCTGCTCCAAACTGTCTGGCCAGATTAACTTTCGAGTCCCTGGAGGAACTACCAACAACTGAGCACAACAGCGTGTAATCCCTCGTCTCCATAGGATTGGGAACATCCCGTCACACTCTATGTTAACTTTGGAATACCTCAGTTGGAACCACCTAAAAATTGCATCTGCATTTCAGAGATCCCCAATAGACTCCAGCATCACTACTATAATTGTATACTCTTCATACAATGATCCAATATTTATATTTTCGCTCTTTGTGCTATGAAATGGTATACCTCTTCTGAAGAAAGTAGATGAGGCATAATCTTGAACTAAGATAAATATTTAAAAATTAGCAACTCGTACAAAAATGATTTGAACAAAAATACTTTTGAACAGAGAAAGAAAGTGGAAGTAGTATTTGTTTGGTTCCAGTTCTTGTAACTAGTAATTAACTGTATAAAGTTGTGAGGTAGTCGGGATCTTAGTCTCATGTAGCCCCATCAGTCAACTTGCTATTGTCTAGTTAATATTAGAGATGAGATAACTGGCTCAATAACTCACCTTAGCTTCATCTAGTGACATAGCAGTGACCAGCAACAAATCGTTACATAATATCCATTTACTTACAGATTATATTACAAGACTTACGTGAACATCCGTGCGCAAATTGAGCATTTTAATAGAGTTTGAAATTTGTGCCCAAGAATAATTGTGTTTCTAGTAATATAGAAACAGGGTAAATTTGCATTAGCCTTTTACGTTTCAAAGACGACTTCATTGCTGACAAATTTAAATCCAAGAAATTAATATAATCTGAATTTTTTTAACGATTAGACTGTTGTCAATGACTTTTTCCGCTGACTCTTGTACGGTTTATATCACGAAAGCTTGTATTCGTGGTTTATATACTATTGACACTGTATATTTTGTACAAAATGAACAAAGGATTATTTGACTTAACTATGCAAGGAAAGGTAAAAATAAACTAAAAAAATAAACTAAATTCTTGGGTCTCATGGTAAACAGTTCACTGAACTGTAATCACGTAAATTACCTTAGTACAAAATTATCATGGTCAGTTTTTATATTAAGAAGATTTGGTAAAGTATGTTCAATTGAAACTTTGAAAACAATCTACTACTGCTTTTTTATTCCTATTTAACGTAGGTACTGTGTCGAAATATGTGGATACACTACCAAAACAAACATAAATCAACTTCTAGCCATTCAACAAAAAGCTTTGAGGTGTATGACTGGACTGAGCTTTGGGAATTCTTGTGAGGGAACTTTCAAAAATCTTGAGATTCTTACCGTTCCTTGCATAATCATTTACCGAGTTTTAATATATTTCAAAGCTAACATCTTTAAAACAACAAATGAACAAATTCACTCATATGACACTAGAGGTAAAAGTAACATCCATATCAGTAGGCATGACATAAGTCGACAAGCATTGGCAAGTATTTTTTTTGCTCCAAGACTTTGGAACCATCTACCAAATCAATTTCAAAATTTCCCTCTTAATTTATTTAAAAAGAAGTTGAAGAAAATTTTAATTAAGCTCTGTTTGTTCATAATAGATGCATTTTGGCTAGTGACTAAAGATGAATTTAATTTACAAATTATAGAATGTTAGAATATGTTATAAGGTGAAGAAGTTAAATTGTGTAAAATTATGTTTGTTTATGTTTAGGATTAATTTAAGAGTCAGGAGATACTAATGTACCGCATTATGTATTTTACTAACAATAAAGTTCGTGTATCTTGTATAAAATAGCACTAGTGATTTGAAATATTTAAAATATGTAGTTTGTACATCTTATACCGCAAAGGGTATAATTTACCTCATATTTCAACTATCAATAATGTAGCCTATTTACGATTTACCATTACTTTTCACACATTTTGTTACTTGTTTACATCAATTCGACAGTTGTAATAGATAACCAACTGAAGGTAACCAGCTCTAAACTACAGTGAATTCCCAAATTTAAAAACCTTTATAAACAAGTTGATCATCAACACTGGACCTTAAAAGCACCGGTTAAATAAAAGCATTCCCTCGGTGGTAGGGAGGGGGTCTGTTAAGACCTAAAGATAAAATGCACTTTTAGATTGACTTTGCTATTAAATATTATAGAACCATCTTGTAAAGTTGAAACAGCTGACTAAATTCTGTAATTCCCTTTTAAATATGAATACTCATAAGGTTAACATGGGGAACTACAGAGCCACTGGGGCGGAGACCGAAAGGATTTTTGAGATTAGAATATGCCTATATGTTAATCGGGAATGTGAGCTATCATCATGCTAAATTTCAGCCCAATCAGTCAAGTAGTTTATGCGTGATTGAGCAACACACAAACACACACACAAACGCACAAACTCACAAACTTTCAGATTTATAATATTAAGCTAACGACAATTTAAAAACTAGTATACTAATTTCTGCCCAATTTGTGTCAAGGGCGCTTTAAAAATAAGTAGAGTGATATGTTATAGTATGGAGGATATGTTTTGGGAAGACAATTATATAAATTAAGGTCCAAGCCACATAAAGAAATGCTACTGGGATTGCTCCAAGTTTTAGGTCAGCATAGATACAGTTTTTTACAGTTTCAACCATATTGCAATAGGCCTACTTTTACCAATATCAGGGAGTTTTAACCATATCCTCACCAAGACCTTTTTTCAATCGATTAATATATTTTACCAAATTGAAAGTCTGTAGACCTTAACAATGTTCTTAAGATAAGTCTTAAGATCGGAGTATTTGTGTTGCCAGGAAACAACATTAAAAACAGGTTCCTTTACATTTTAGCTTTTGGATTAATTTATTGACATAACGTTGATCAGCAGAGCTAATTATTTGCGATATCGAGGGCAGTGGGTCGAGGAGATCTGGATGGCAGTGGACAACCCACAAACATTCTCGTCACCGCCCACCAAAATCATTTAAATTTACAATATATATTGATCAATTTGAAATGTAGAGAGTGGACAAGATTTTACTTACTCTTTCCATACAACTGGTTTGTATTAGTTAGGATTTGTTCCAAAGTTTGTAAAAAGTAGTTTTGAGTTGGTCGCTTTTGTTGGAATGGATACGAATCGAGGACAGCGATGTTGTACGTTTTGTCCTGATGTTGATGTCGTTTAACATTTATTAGTATGGATCTTCTACATTGCAATACTGTACCTGTTCAGGCTTGCTCACCTTGATAAGTTCCACGCACATGCTTAAAAATCCACGATGAGGGACAAACTAAAAGGTAAAAAAATCACCAATCATCTTAAAAATAATAATAATAACTTTGTGAGACAAATTGTTTGTTTAGATTCTATTTAGAAATTGGTTATATGAAAAGAGGAATTTTCGATATGCAAGTTTGGAAAATGAAAGAACAACAAGCCATTTTTGAGCTCTTTGAACTTCACTTTCACCTTCCTAGAAAAAGTGTTATATAGTGCTACAAACTTCAAAAATAAAACTTAAAAATTAGCTATTTCATTATTTTTGCCCAATCTTGTAAGAACTATCTCTTACTTCGGGTTCGACCCTCACACATGCCGAAGAAGATGTAACGTGTAAGCTACGTTAATTGAGTCATGTTTATCAATAGTCATGTTATCATATAGTTTGTTTCAAGTAAATATTATTATGGTAAAGATCAACAAACGAATACAATCGTGTCTCCACTCTATTATTTTGAGTTGAATAAACTTTGCATTAACATACGTGGAACTTGAGACGTCAAGTTTACTTTACGAACAAAGCATGTATGCTATATTTCTAGAACAACAATAAGCATTGTGGTTTTAATTTGAAGCTAAAAATGTCCACATGAAGCAGGATAAATTTGGAATATTACATATATAAGAAAAAAATACGTATTTCGAATATAATAATTCGTTTTCCACAGTATAGAAAGTAAAAGTAAGAACAAGTTAGGTAATGTATTCCCAAATAATTTATTAGTTCAACAATTTCGTCAACCTACAATTAAAAATTAACCTACTTCAGGTATGCTGTTACTTTTTACAACTGCTATTTACAACTAAAACGGTTAAATAATTAGTTCGTAGACTAGTTTAAGCACCGACTAACTTAAAACTAAAGTAACAATTGAGTTGGTTTATTCATTTGGCATTGAACTTTAACAGTCTTGTTGGTGAACTACTTTACAATTTTCAACGACTCTTCTTCGTCCGAACTGTTTTCGTTTTTCTTCGACTCTTTCAACATGTCGTAAATAGACATTTCAAACTCGTGGAGTGAATCGGTTATCGAAGACCTTCTACTTGAATTAATCGAGTCTTTTTTCGTAACAGTTTCCTTACTATTTCCATCATCTACGCAGTTATGATGAAGCGTTTCTCCATTTACATTCTTTTTACTGTCACTTTTACCAGCTGAGTTTGAACTTTGCACATCAACGAAATGTCTACCTTTGATTTCCTTGAAGTCAAAAGAACTCACTACGTTGGACCTTTTATCTAATAAACTATTCAATCCGGAGTCAGCTTCAGCGAGTTTCGGAGTTTGGAACGAGTAATCACTCAAGAGAGTTTTGCAACTTAACTCATTGTCCGAATCACTTCCATTCAGTCCAGAATGGTCCGTAAGTTTATCGGACGACAAAGATTTGTAGATTATGTTAGTTTTAGTGTTTGTCAAAAATATCGATTCCTCTTTGCAGAAGTTTGCAGTGTCACTTTCCTTATTGTTTTGGAGGATGTCCAATAGCACGGAATGGTTAGTGTCTCCGAGAGGGGAGGAATTCACCCCCTCAGCTGTTTTCGTTTCAGGCATAAGATGTAAATGGTTCGGCAAAGAGTTGGGACCGGTAACATCTTGGGAAGGTCTTACTGAATTTTCTGATCCTCGCCTATCTTTACTGATATCTGGGGTGAAATAAGGCTCTGAATCCACATTCAGGATATTTTGCAACCACGCCTTTTTGCTGACAGCTGTCTTTTCCCGTATGTCATTGTTATCTTTTGCATTGAGCTGTTGAGCCTCACTGCTTTCTTTCACGTGAGTGATATTTTGTGTTGGGTTGTTTGCGTTTTGTATTTCACTTTTGGTCACTTCATTGGCATGTGTACCATTTTGAGACTCAGTTTCGGTGACATCTAAGTGATGTAGGCTTTTATTCTCTTTCACTTGATTCATATACTCGTTGTCAAGAACATGATCTGTCTTCAAACTACTTTTCTCCTCTGGTTTAATATACTCAGCGTCGAATGTATTAGCTGTATCAACTCTGACCTGACAAACATTGTTGATATCCTGTATGTGCGCCAAAATGTTCAACGTTTCTCGCACACTTTCCACACTTGTCACACTCGATTCCTCACTGAACTTCAAATTCTCCTTGTCTTCAAACCCGCTTTCAGCTGAAACCTCTGAGATCGCTGATAGTTTGTCTACGTAGCCTAAACTAGAATGTAAGAGAGTCCTTGAACTAAAGAGTGTTTCGTTTTCGATCGGAATGATTTCAGGTTGATCAATATCTTCTTCGCTAGTTTGAAGATTCTTGATGTTTTCTTCGTCTTCGTGTACTCGAGACTCGAGGATAGGAGTGACGACCATGGTAGTCCTTGAGGATAAGTCTGGAAGAGAGATTGTTGATTTGCTGAGACAATCAGGATCGAGATTCAAGTCGTCCATGGACACTGCAGCTCTCTCTAGGTCCTTGTTCTTTCTTCTCTTTTTCCTAGGTGGCGGCACCGGCGCTGCCTGAGCTTCTGGTACGACCAGTGTCATCGACCTCCAACCGTCCGTTGAATCCTCTGGGACTAGCGTAGGGGAGCTGATGGTCAACCTCTCATTGGTCCTGGAACAAGCACGATATGAAATTAGAAGATTTAGATTATATTTCTTATTATAGATTATAAAGTCACATTTTTATATATGTGGCGCCATCACAAATAGTGTGTATTTTAAGGGGAAGGTGAGTAAAATCTTTTATTATGGATACAACTAGGAACATTCCATACCCGTGTTAAATATGTCATAATTTGTCTTAATAAAAAATCGTCGTAATTGACGATAGCCACTGACGTATTGTGCTGATGTATATTACTGATATCTGTCGAATACACCAACATTTTAACCAAGTCTAACTGATGGATCAAATGTGAGCTATAGCAGCTGTTACGACCTATCAACTAAGTTGGAAACAAAAAGTAAGCTGTAAAATAAAATGTTTAACCCTAGTGCATTCTCTGACTAGATCACACAAAGAAAAAAAATGGCGACAGCTGGTCCATAGATAGGATGTATACTTCGGTATCGAATAGTAAATTAATTGTAAACTGTAAGTGTTCAAAGACTTCAATAATAGCTTTGTTACTGAACAGTGAACACGATCCATAGAAAAATATCCAACATTTCAATATTACACTATTTTTTAAAACTTAAAACCTCTTTGACTTTTAACCTACAAAGCTTTGTTAGACACTAACAAGTAATTCTTGGTAACAATTTATCAAACGTCAAAGAGTAGAAGTACAGGTAACGGAAAGACAGCTGTGTCATCATCATATCGAATATTTGTTGCAAAACCAAAAGTAAAAGAATTCAATTTTGTTTAGTTTTTTTAAATAAGTATGAGGTACAAAGTTTACTTTTAAGTTGAAATCGCAATATTTTAATGTATTACATAAATGAAAATATCTATATAGTCTATTAATTTTATTTAAATAAAGTAAACAGTAAAATCTTCACCGCAAAGCTCATTATTACCTCAATGGCTTGTTAGGTGGTCTGGGAGGTCTGTGGTGGTGTTTTGGTTTTCTGTACGCTTGTCTGACCTGGAACACGTAAAAGCATAGATTAAACCTTTGACTATTGATAGAGCTATACATACCATTACCATTTTAAAGTTGTTGCCAGTTGTTCAATAAAAATTTACGCAGTTAAAGTGAGCTACCGTCAGATTGTGTTGATTTAAATTACTCATTTTCCGTTGAATATGCGAACTGATTAACCAAGTAACATTGACAGGATGACTTATTGTGTAAGTTATAGCACCAGAGAGCACAGAATAGAAATTTATATTCTGTGCTCTCTGTATAGCACAGACAATGGAAACCGCTATAGCATCTTTTTTATCAACTCAACTATTTCAGAAACACCAAATAAGGTAGAAATATAATTTTAGATATTACAAAATTCTGTGACTGGCTCACTCAACTATGTTCTTTTCATAACAAAATTGGCAACAGCTGGTCAATAATGAGATATATACCTCATTTTCTAAAAGTCAATTAATTATTAAAAATGCTCTGTAATACTACTGAGCAACTGACATAATGTATTTCCCATCTGCATATCAAACTTTAAAATAATTTACACCAGCAATATGTCAATACAGAAATAATTAGGTTCATCAATATTTCAAGGGGTTTGTGGCTTCTAGTTGAAATTGGTTGTTTCATGTTAAGCTACATGATACATTTTAAATAGTTGTATGACTGGAAACGAGATCGTTGCCTTGATTTCGTCAGAGATTTAAAAATAATATGTTATAAATTTATGAATAATTGTCAAAAAAACTATTTCAAGTAATAAAGACAATAAACAGTAAAGAAAAGTCTTAAAACATGTACTGAAATAAGAAAGAGTTATTTAGTCGACATAAGCGCACTTAAAAGAACATAAAAGAACACCAAGACACTCTTCAAATTGTACAATAGGATGAGATAAACTGCACAAATTAAAGTCAACAATTTTACTTTGTGTACTTCAGCTTTTGATTATAATTTAAGATAACAAGCAAAGATAACAAACAATTTGTAATGTTTACTGAAAATAGCATTCGGTAATTTATAAAAAAATTAACAGCAAAGCGCACTCTTTATAAACCATACATATCTAACTAACCTTGAAACTGTCTCTAGTTGTTCAACGAAGAAGATAAATTTATGTTGTAGTATGTATGTGGTTTAAGTTGGCTGAAATCAGCTGTTTGCATTGTTTTGTTCAGTGTGGTTTAAGTTGACTGAAAATCAGCTGTTTGCATTGTTATTCTGTGTACTTCAGTGTGGTTTAAGGTCTACATAGCCACTGCGTCTAACTACCTAACGATGAGCTAATTAACTCCACTAACAGGAAGCTTTGTAAGAGTCAAAGGCGATAATTGAGTTTAACAAGTCTCCTACAAGATGGCGGCCTTTAACTAACTTGTGTACAAACTGGCCAAACTGTTGCTTAGACGCTTCCATTGTAAAGAGTTTCTGTTCTTGGTAACAAGCGCTGAGATTTTTCTTTTGTACAGTGACAATTGGTAATAGTTAATGAATAGGTGGTTAAATGATAAGCTGCTAGAAGACTCAGCTTTAAATTAGGTTTCAAATGATGTTTTTCCTACAGCATAAACGAATTTGGAGATGAATTTGGAGATAATTAATTCTACTAGTACTGTGGGTTAAATACTATAATACTAACACATTTCCTTCAGTTCTCGGTTAATATTGAGTTTTCACCACTGTGACTATGCAATTTTAAAATGTTAACCCATACTTTTCTTATGTAGGTAACTAACACTGGTGAAAAACAATTGAATAAATAACGTTGTTAATGACTAATTTCATATATATGTATGACCATTGATTAATCTTTATATTTCTGTTGTATGATTTATTGGTGAAGATTAACTATCACATGTTTTTATTATTGTTAAATAATGAGTAAATAAATAGTGATTGAAATGTTGTACTAAAATTGACTATTCTTATTTTGACTTTGATAATTGACAATTTAATATTGGTGCCGAAACTAAAAAAGAACCATGTCTTACAGAAAAAGTAATAGGGAATTTAAACCTCCAAAAAGGTATACTCCTGATCAGAAAGAAAATAATGATACCGACAAATTATCAAAGAATGTTTCTGAGAATGTAAACAATGACACTCAAGGAGTAGCATTGAGACAACCCAGCATTACTTCTATTAGTTCAAGGATGAATCCACAACATCAAGCAACACAACAATGCACACAGGAGCAAACAAGGAGGCAACAATTTGCAACAGGAGACAAATGGAAATAGAACTTGAAAAGTTGGAGGAAATACAAAAACTGGAAGGAGAAAATGAAGAAAAGGAGCTGGAAAGACAAAGACTGATGGAGGAGAAGGATATGGAGCGACAACGGCTGAGAGACGAGAGGGAGCTGGAGCGACGTAAACAAATGCTGGAAATAAGGGCTTCTATGAAATCCCTATCGGCAAAATGGTAGTCAAGTCTGCGGATCTGAGGTAAGCATAAGTCAAAGCTTAATATTTCAGTGAGAGAAGAGAGAATCTGAGAGTAAAGTCGTAAAGTGGATAATGAACCGACAGTTCATCAGTGTTCATCAACCGCTATGACCACGGCTGCACAGTTACTAGCAGATTCAGTCAAAAAAGTTATTCAACCAACCTCTCTTTGCCGCCAACATCTACCAAACTTTAGTGGTAGACCAGATGAGTGGCCTACGTTCTTTTCTGCATTTGAAAATACCGTAAAACTGTATTCTGATGATTACAACCTAGCTAGACTTAGAAACTGTCTTGAAGGCGAAGCCTTCAAAATGGTGAAACCTCCTTTTTGTTTCCAGTAAAAACTTGCATGCCATAATCAAAACGTTACAGATGCATTTGGTAAACCTGAGTTTATCATTGAGTCTATGATGAACCAAACTAGAATGCTAGCCCCTGTAACATAAGACAATATTGTTGGCCTCATAGAATTTTCTACAACCATTCTTGACTTTACCTCTACAGCTGAGTCTCTTCATATGGAGTACTACATGACAAAACCTGTACTACTTAGTGAACTGTTAGAAAATTGCCAAATGAAGTAACATGTGAGCAGTATGTGTTTAACTAGACCTAGCCTAAGTGATTTTTCAGATTTGTTAGAGAGACAATGTTCTATCACGAGTATCTATTTTCGCCCAAACAAGGAAGTCCCGACTACAAAGAAAAATGACTTCAAACCTGTGTTGACCAACTCTTCAAAAGCAGCAGTTCCCACAGTTGGCCCACTTACCTGCGTGTTCTGTGGTGTTAAGCACGATAATGACAAATGCTCTATACTTCAGAAAGCTGATATTTCCGAAAGGTGGAAAATGAACCAATTTCATATCCACAGCATCAAAGTGAGAAAACAATGAGTAAACAAGTAAAATTTATAAAAACGTTTTCATAATCTCCGAAGCTCGTAACGTGGACAATCAGATCGTTGCTACAAGAGGCTGTTTGAGTAGTTCCAGCCTGGTAAGTTATTATTACGAGCTCGGCTCGATTACATGAGATATAACGCAGTAAAAGTCCCATAAACCGGTAATAAACCGTATCTAATACTCTTAATTTCCTACTTCTTGAATATCTCGTTAAGTGAGAAACGGGGGTGTAAAAGTATACTAATTGATTGGGAACAGATTTGTTGAGACATTAAATTGTTGTTAATGTTGTTTTAAAACAAATAATTTAAATATTGATTGATTGTAATGAAATAACTAATTAAAGAGTTCCTTGTGTACTTTTCCATTTTAAAAATGCATTGAATATCTTATTACTTATATTTCTGACCAATTAGATTTATTTTAAATTGAACGAAAAAACATGGAATAATTAATTCGATACAATACAATAAATTAAAACATTCATGCATTTTTCTGAACAAAAATGTGTAAAACTATTGATTATATAACGGATTACCCAACTCGAAAATTGATAACTGACATTGATTACAAATTAACACCCCATTACAAGTTATACATAATTTATCTTATAGAAACTATTTATCAGTTTCCCTAAAATTTAGAGTAAATATGATGACACACTTTCTTGCGAAATGGTCTTCAAGCAAACGCAAAACTTAAACTTTTTTAGTTTCTGTTTTATCAATTTTATCCCTTCTCATTGTTTAAAACTGACCCATATTTGTCCTAGGACGCTAGGCACTAGCCCAGGATTGTTTTTCACATTAGTTCAGGCTAGACCCAGGGGTTGCGGCATTATCACAAAACAAAGTCCATTGGTGATTTGGCAAGATTTGAACCGGGGACCTCACGGACTGAGTTCCGTGCTCTACCTATAGACCTGCTTGCTCATCAGCTTGAAATTGATACATTCATCATTTATATTCCCCTGTATTGATTTACCAATGAAGATTCACGAAGTGAAATTACGTTTAGGTAAAACCTGTGAAATAATTTACCTTACAAAATTTTAACACTTATCTCGTCATCTCGAATCCCTTTGAATCCATCAAAAGCAAAGACTTTCCCGTTTTGTAACAGAACTACATAACAGATCTGAGATGGAATGAGGACCGGTGAGGCCGTGGAAAGTAAAGTAGGTCTACAATCATCATTTTGGCGGACAGCCCACTTGGACTGGCTGTAGCGGTATTGGACATTAGATATTGCTATTGGACGTTTGGTGAAACGATACTTGGGAGGTGCTATAACATGCTTACTTGATTGAGATGTAGTATATAAGTTCTACATTTCGAATATATTTATAACTACTAATTATTAACGGCAAATGGATATTTTTGACACAATGAATGCACGATGAGTGTAGAATGGAGTAAGATTAGCTGGTTCTTTAGTAGCCTATATATTAGTAGGCAAACATGGACATTTCAAACTCGAGGAGCGAATCGGTTATCGAAGACCTTCTACTTAAATTAATCGAGTCTTTTTTCGCAACAGTTTCCTTACTATTTCCATCATCTACGCAATTTTGAAGCGTTTCCCCATTTACATTATTTAACTTTTACTAGCTGAGTTGAAACTTTGCATATCAACGAAATGTTTACAT